AAGGACGGCAGGGACCATCCCCTCACTGGAGTTTCCATGGAGTCTATGAGAGGAGATTTCTGCCACTAAATACTCTTTCCCAAGTCAAAGTTTTCCATCCTAGGTAGTAAGTGCCTTCTTCATAAATACATGTCAGCCTACATTTTGATGGATGACAAAACTCTCATGTCCTTCCCATGAAAAAAAAGAAATTAGCTCACACATGCTTTTGGCACTTTCCTATAAATATGCTCCCCACTGAACACTTTGGGAGTAGATGTGTCTCCACCCCTGCATCCGGATTCAGCTGAGCTTGGAGTCTGTGGCCCAACTTGGCCAGTTTAAATACATGAGCCAGAGCTGTAGACTGAGAACCTTGGAGCTCCTCCCCACCATCCTCCAGGGGCCGAGCTCTTTGTTCTTCCCCAGGCTGCCTTTCTCACATGTCCCCATGCTTAGGGATCTTTAGATACTTCCGTCGTGTGTACGAGGTCATTCTCTACCATGGTTTCTCAGAATGCAGAGATTACCCATGTGCAAACAGAACTTTGCTCCACAGGACAAAGAAGGCATGTGAGGCTTCGAAGGCTCCCTGTCTCAGGAATGTCCTTACAATCTCTCTGAATGAGAAGTCTGCACTTTACTCATTACTGACCTTTCACCTGGAAAGTCCTGGGCTGCAGGTGTCAGGTGAGGTTTGTTTTACAGCATTTGGAGAGATTGAGGTGGCAGAGGGGCAGGGAAAGAAAGTGGACACACAGGGGCACCTGAGTGGCTCAGTCAGTTAAGCATTCGACTTCTGCTCAGATCATGATCTCATGGTTCATGGGTTCGAGCCCCACGTTTGGCTCTGTGCTGACAGCTAGCTCAGGGCCTGGAGCCTGTTTAAGATTCTGTATCTCCCTCTCTCTCTGACCCTCCCCTGCTCCCTCTCCCTCTCTCGCTTCTGAACAGGTGGAAAGTATTCTGGAATACCAACCCCTCACTGCTTCTCCTCTTCCTAACCCACTTCTCCCTCCCCTCACTTTCCTGTCTTCTGCACCAACATTGGCCAACTCTGGGTTTCTCTCTGTGCCCTTCCCCTACCCGTCATTCCTTTGCTCCCCCCTCTTCTTCTACCCACCCTCACTGGAGCAACACTTTCATGTTTCCCTCCCTCTCTGTGCCTCTCTCCCCTCTCTCTGGAGCTGTCAATTTTCTAAGTTTCATGGACGCCCTGGATGTTTGACCTTCACCTATCAAGAGGATCCCCCTTCTGGTCTCCTCGAGTCCAGGGCTGTGTCTGCCACCCCCACCTGGGCATGCATGTTCAGATCTCTTGTCTTCTCAAACTCAATGTAAAGCAAGCTTCCCTTTCTCTGCTCCCAGAGACTCTTTCTCCCAACTTCCTTTCATGGTTAATGGTGCCACCAATTTCCCAACCTTCCAAGTTCAAAATTTGAAGTTACTTTGATTGACACTTCAGGCAGTCATCTAGTTTTACTGATTTTTCCTTAAATATCACTGTGCTAAGGTATTCCTCCCACTCTGTTCTCCTTGCTGCTGCTGTCTTAGCTCTGGCTCTCATGATCTCTAACCTTGACTGTCTCTACAACTACTTTGCTGTTCCCACATCTCTCCCCACAACCCAAAGGCTGGGTGGGTGGCAAAAGGGCACTATTACTCTAGCAACCTGGGCTCGGGGCAGGGAGGGCGGGAGCATGGTCAGGACTGATATACAGAACAGCTCTAGCTCTCCCCTCCCAGAGCTGCCCCTCTGCTGACCCACCAGCAGGAAGGAGAGGCCTCAGGCCCAGAGCTGTGGGGAACAAGTATAATTTGATATTCAGTTACTTTGCAAATACATACCGAGTTCCTGGAATACCAAATTCTGTCCTAGGTACTGAGACCATGAACAAAACAGAGTCCCTGCCCCATGGAGATCACCTAGTCACAGGAGAGATAGACAAATAAGTATCTAATGTGACAAGAAATGGTAAATCATAGGACCTACGTATTGAGAATAGAGCCGAGGGATGCCTGTGAGCCTCAGTCTGTTGAGTGTCTGACTTTGGCTCAGGTCATGATCTCACAGTTTGTGGGTTTGAGCCCTGCATCAGGCTCACTGCTGTCAGCACAGAGCCTGCTTGTGATTCTCTCCCTCTCTCTCTCTCTGCCCCTGCCCCACTCATGCTCTCTCTCTCAAAAATAAATTAAAATATTTATTTTTTAAAAAAAAAGATAGAGACAAATAAAGAGAATAAAATGTAAATGGAGCAAATGGCGAAAAAATGTGTGAAAAAATGCTCAGTGTCATGAGGGCAATGCAAATCGAAACCACGACGACATAGCACTTCACACCCACCAGAATGGCTGTAATAGAATGAAAATGGAAAGCAACCAATGTTGGTGAGAGTGTGAGGACAACGAAGCCCTGGCACTCGTGGGCAGGAGTGTGAAATGGTGAGGATCCTGTGGAACAGTGTGGCAGCGCCTCACAAAGTTTAACATGGAGTTAAATGACCCCGCAATCCCACTCCTATGTGTTCACCCAAAAGAACTGAAAACAAAGAGCTCCAACAAAAGCTTGCCCATAAATGTCACCGCAGCACTGTTCGCAGTAGCCGAAAGGTGGCAACAACTCAGATGTCCATCAAGTGATGAATGGGCGAACAAAACGTGATGTAGGCATACCATGGAATATCACTCAGCCGTGCAAAGGAATGAAGTACCGATTCATGCTACATCACGAATGATGTAAAACTTGATGCTAAGCTGAAGAAGCCAGATGTAAAAGGCCACATATTATATGATTCCATCTCTGTGAAATGTCCAGAATCAGCCAATAGATAGAGACAGAAAGCAGATCAGTGGTTGGTTGTCAGGGGCTGGGGAGACGGGGGCTGAGTATAGGATGGAAAGGGTGCAGGATATCCCTTTGTGATGACAGAAAAGTTATCTGGAATTAGACGGTCACACCATGTTGTGAACTTACTAAGTACCGCTTCATTGCACACCTTAAAAATAGTTTAAAAAGTAAATTTTATGTTATGTGTATTTCCCACAACAAGAACAGCAAATGGGGGTGGCCACAGGGTGCTCCTTGGACAGGAGAGTTCAGGAAACCTCTCAGACGAGGTGAGAAGCCTCTCTCACAGCCCTAGGGCAGGAAGGTCTGTGCCCCGCAGTTACCAGGAAGGGCAGGGAGCAGCAGAGCATGCAGGCGGCTCTGAGCCGTATTCGTGGTGATCTGGCGCCCTTTCCTCATTTCACTCCGCAGTCCAGGAGCACAATGCTCCTCCCCTCACCCCTGCCTCACCCTCAGAGCTGGTGCTCCTTCTGGCCACTTGGAGGCTGGGCAAGCATTTGGGGCCCAGCCCACTGAGCACTTCTCCGGCAGCACATTTTCTGATGTCCGCCAGACCATGAGCACTGGCTAGACTGAGGCTTGGAGCATTGAGTCTGCTGCTTATCAGCCTCCTGAGGCTGGGCACCCGGCCCCTCCCCAGGATTCAGTTTCTTGCCACATAAAACAAGGGCTGTTAAGAAAATAAAGCCAGACGACTGAAGTGCTGAGCTTAGTACCTGGTGTGCGGTGAGCTCTCAGGAATGGTGGTCGTGTCATTGCTTCAACATTTCCTAGAAGCTGAAGTTTGAAATTTCACACTTCATGTTGTACTGATAATATTTGGTAATTATTTATTGAATGTACAGAAGAGTCAAAATATATTACAATCACAGTGATGGTATTTACAGTCTTTGGGATACCTTCTCCCAACCCTAGTGACTCTTTCAATACAGAGCATATAGATCGCACTTGAATAAATGTTTGATTGACCAATGATTGATTGGTTGATTGATTTGGCTGTATCACCAAATAGGAATGGAATTTTCTTCAAATTAAAACACGAAGGGAAACAAGATGTCTGGGCAGGGGAAGGGAAGATAGAGAGAGGGAAAATCAGCAAGTGAACAGAACCTGACTCAGCCAGGGTGAAATATATTGCAATATTCCATAGGCATACACGTTTGCGCGCGCGTGCACACACACACACACACACACACACACACAAAGCATAGTTAAAGAAAGGCCTGGAGGGTTGGTGGAAAATTTTTCAGAAAAAATGAGTTGTTTTATTTTTTTATTAAAAATGTTTAAATGTTTATTTGTTTTTGAGAGAGAGAGAGTGAGCACGAGCAAGGGAAGGGCAGAGAGAGAGGGGGACAGAGGGTCTGAAGCGGGCTTTGGGCTGACAGCAGAGAGTCCAATGTGGGGCTCAAAATCACGAACTGTGAGATCATGACCTGAGCCAAGTTGGATGCTTAACCAACTGAGCCACCGATGCCCCTGAATTGTTATTTGATTTCAGGATGCTATAGTTACAGGTGTTCCAAGTAAATGTTAATACATTTGACAAATAGAGGTCAGACAAATTTTTAAAGTCCTATCACTGGAGAAAGGCAAGAGTTTAAAATATCTAAAAATGAGATAGTAGAGATACATTTCACAAATTTTTAGAAGTGGGAGATGATAGATAGATAGATAGATAGATAGATAGATAGATAGATAGGTAGATTATGGTGGCACCCAACTACTTGAGGAGAAATCAGCAAGGGAAGGAGAATTTGTTTAGTTTTATTCCATAAAAAGATGTGATGCCAAGATAGGGCTGGGATTCACTTCCCTGTGCGCTGGTCACGTGACCAATCTCCAAATGCTGCACAGCGTGAATAAGACCAACCCAACTATTGTTTCTTATTTTTACGACCTGCACACACCCAAATGCGGTTTGCCGCTCCACAGAGGCACACCTATCCCTCAAACCCCCGACCCTCTCTCCCGGAACCGACTCGCCACTGCAGTTTCCTTTCCACGAGATTCTTGTTTCATACTTGATCCCCCGTTCAGAGAAACAGACACAAACCCCGTTTGAGAGTAAAAAGCTAGAAAGCAGCTGGCGTCTTCCAACGCTTACTGACACAATTTTCTTAATCATATCTCCCTTTCAACCAAACAGTGAAAAAGAAAAGGAACTGTTTACCTGACCAGATCCCTGATTTCTTCATGAGGGTCTACAAGTGATTATGGAGAAAGCAGCTCGAAATCATCTTCTGAGACTTCCTGAAATCTCCAGTCTGTCTCCGATTTGGGAGAGCTCTAAGTTTGAGCCGTGAATAGAGGCTGTGTGTTATTTTAACCACAAGGTTTCTAGTCAGTACGGAGGAGAGATGGAAATGAGATACGTTGGCAAGCAGAAGCGCCATCCACCTCGAGTGAAATGAGCTCGCAGATCTGATGTAAGAGCTCGGGGACATTTGAAGAACCCTCAAACCAACTTTTCCTAAACTAGAGGTTAAATAGCTGCGGAAAATTCCAAAGGAGTAAGATAAGACACTTACGGTCTTTTCTAAAAAAAGACACGTTGGTATGCCCTGTCTGATACTGTCTGATGGGAAGCCCAGCACGGAGCTGGCCTCAGGAGCCCTGGGCTGCCGATAGGGGACCATGACACCTGGAGACAGCTTTGCTCCACACAAAAAAAGGAGCCTTCTGGGGGTTATAAGTATAGAATGACAAAGGAGGAACACCAAGTCACACCTTTTGTGTAAAAACAAAACCGGTGTCATGACAATCCACATGAAGTTATGGGGTAAGGGAATAGCTATTCTGGAATAGGTTATTCTGGAAGATTAACATGTGTGAGTGTGAGTGTGTGTGTGTGTGAGTATGAGAGAGCATGAATGTGTGTGTGTGTGTGTGTGTGTGTGTGTGTGTGTGTGTGTTCTCACTTCGCAAACAACCGAAAAAGCAAAGATCCAGCCTCAGCTCAGACCAGTTGGAGACCTTCCTCCTCAGTATTTTGGCAAATACAAATGCCGCTTTGGACTTGGAGGAGGAGAATGATTTATCGCACACAGATCAACAGCAAAAACTAGAGCCGATGAAATGGCCAACAGTCCTTTACAGCCAGCCTGTCCCAGATGCCAAAGGGGTTTAACTCCACTTTTGGAAAAACTCAGCAGTGCTCCCATTAAGCAGGGTCATAATTCAGTTTTATATAGACTCTTTCATCTCAAAGGAACTTGAGGTGGGTTTATACTGAAATATAAATTATCCTGTGCACAGTCACCTCGGGGATGCACCACAGCTCCTGCCTAGCAGCAGCTGGCCCAGACACAGGCAGTCAGTTTGGAGCCGCAGTGAGACAGCAGGCTGGTGGCCAAGAGGCACTTGGTGAAAACGAATGAGTGGGACCTGCCCTTCTGACTTGGCCCTTTCCTTCCTGGGGCTGGGACCTCTCCGATATGCACCTGGGTTTTCTTACTGAGTCCCCCAGTGCCTTTCCCCAATACCTACATATACAACCTCAAAAACGGACCTCAAAACATAAATCAAGGCAGTGCCAGGGTGGCTCAATCGGTTAAGCATTCAACTTTGGCTGAGGTCTTGATCTCAAGGTTTGAGAGCTTGAGCCCCACGTCAGGCTCTGTGCTGACAGCTCAGAGGCTGAAGCCTGCTTCAGATTCTGTGTCTCCCTCTCTCTCTGCCCCTCCCCAGCACATTCTCTCTCTCTCTCTCCCTCTCTCTCTCTCTCAAACTCTCAGGTATAAATAAACATTAAAGCATCACAAACTGGGAGTAAGTGATGACTTCATTTTGAGATCACATCTTTTAGAAGCGGGCTTGGCAAAGCATGACCCTTGGGCCAAATTCAAACACTTTGTAAATAAAGTTTTATTCATACACAGCCACACTCACTCATCCATGGGCTATCTACAGCTGTTTTGGTACTATCACAGCAGATGTGGCAGAGATTGGAGATAGGATGTTTTGTCTTAGAGGTGGAAAAAGGAACAAGGAGTCTCTTTCAATATGGAAGACGCACCTACTCATACCACCAAACCCATAATCAGGCCCTGAGTCTCCATTTTAATTAGTCCTTCATCAGAAAAACTCTTTTACTTGGACACTGCCTCAGCTTACCTAATTTCATCCCCCAGAAACTATAAAGTGGCTGCATCCAACTGTTCTCTCAAATAGAAGCCTTGGAAGCACCCTCAGGTCCTCTCTATATCATCCCCAATTCACCTTGTCTTTGCAACCCTCTCTGAGTCTCTCCAAAAGCATTAGCTGCTCCCTCCTACAGGATTTCATCATGTTTTGTTTAGTTTTTTCTTGCGTTTCTTGTAGTTCTACCCCAATTATCTCTATGTTTGCCTTTCTTAGCACACTATGCGTTTTTTGAGAGTAAAAGTGATATCTTATTTAACTTTTAAAAAATGTTTTTATTTATTTTGCAGAGAGACAGAGCATCAGCAGGGGAGGGGCAGAGAGAGAGGGAGATACAGAATCTGAAGCAGGCTCCAGGCTCTGAGCTAGCTGTCAGCACAGAGCCCAACGTGGGGCTGGAACTCACGAACTGGGAGGTCATGAACTGAGCTGAAGTAGGACGCTTAACAGACTGAGCCACCCAGGTGCCCCTCTTATTCAACATTTTATCCCCAGAACCTAATACTGAAAAAGACACATAAGTAGATACTCCATTAGTGGTTTCTACAAACATAGTCAGTCTTACTCCTTTGGAATCTAATCTTGAAGGAAATGAACAAAAGGATTGTCTGACACTCCCTCAACATGAGGTGTTCTTGAAATATCCTTCTCAGAGATCACCCTGGCTCTGTCCTTCTACCACTGCCCCGCTAACTTTTACACATTCTTTATTAGCTGGTCTTTTTTTTGGGTATTTTTTAAGTTTTTAATTTATTTTGAGACAGAGACACAGAGAGAGAGAGCTCTAGAGCAGGGGAGGGGCAGAGAGAAAGGGAGAGAGAGAGAGTGTCAAGCAGGCTCCATGCTGTCAGCACAGAGCCCAATGTGGACCTCGAACTCAAAAACCGTAAGATCATGACCCGAGCCAAAACCAAGAGTTGGATGCTTAACTGACTGAGCCACCCAGGAACTCCCATAGCTGGTCCTTTAATTTGGAATTTGTGTAAAAAGAGCCTCCCTGCAGAAAGATCAACACCAGTTAGAAAAGACAATCTTTCTAACAACTAGAGCAGTCAGAAGACCTAGAAGGATCTGGCACCTGGCGGAAAAAAGGCTGTGTATTCTCTAAGCTTACTTCCCATGCTGAGTTCTGGTAAAGCCTAGTTTCCCTGGTGTGAGCCCATCAGAACAGAACTATCACATGCCCCAGGGATGCAGATGTCCCCCCTGCAGGTCTGGGGCAGAAAAGGAACCAGACTTCTCGCATTACGGGGGCAGTGGTGCTGTACCGTCTCAGTAGATGTGCTGCTATGCCTCGTCTTATTTGTATCCTTTCTAATGGTCACAAGGATGCCAAGACCTTGATAACATTCTGTGGTAAACAAAAGAGGGTTACATGGATGTACTGAACATTTTTCATATCCGTGGCCACTCCATGGCTTGTGAACAGTCTTCTTTTGGTGAACTTAGACTTCTCACATTGAGTCTTTGTCTAGGTCTGCTCAGGTTACCATGACAAAATATCATGGCCTGCATAGCTGAAATAACAGACGTGTATTTTCTCATGGTTCTGGAGACTAAAATTTTGAGATCAGAGTGCCAGCAGGGTCAGGTTCAATGAGAACTCAATACCTGGCTTGCAGACCGCCTTCTCCAATGGCCTTTCCTTGGTGCATATATGGGAACATCTCTCTCTTACTCTCTCTTTTCCTCTTTTTTTTTTTTAATTTTTAATGTTTTTTTATTTATTTCTGAGAGAGAGAGAGAGAGAGAGACAATGTGACCAGGGGAAGGTCAGAGAGAGAGGGAGACACAGAATCCGAAGCAGGCTCCCGGCTCTGAGCTGGCTGTCAGCACAGAGCCTGACGCGGGGCTCAAACCCACGAACCGTGAGATCATGACCTGAGCCGAAGTCGGACGCTTAACTGACTGAGACACCCAGGTGCCCCCTCTTTTCCTCTTCTTAAAAGGCCACCAATCCTATTAGATTAGGACCTACTTTTATAACTTCATTTAACCTTATTTAAGTAAAAGCCCTAACTTCAAAAACAGTCATATTGGGCGTTAGGGTTTCAACATATGAATTTTTTGTAGGGTAAGGTGAACACAATTCAGTCCATGATTGTCACCCTTCCTCGGAGCAGAAGCCAGGCTTTCTCTTCCAGCCTCCTTTGCAACTGGGGTTCAGGCATATGTCACAGGCCGGGCATTTAGCTTCCTTCAACTTAGTAAAGACCAGGAGGAAGCAGGAAAGGAGTTGAATCCACTCTATAGTAGGTCAGTGCCATTTGGCAGGGAGTCACCAGCTCTAAGAGGCAGCCCCAAGGAAGGCCAGTCATCATGTCGGGTACAGAGTGTCTGTTGGGTGAGCTCAGGGGCCTGGCCCCACCTCTGCAGCAACACCCCACCGCCCCACAACAAAACTTGTATGGTGCTCCCTCATGGTCATGCAGCTTCCATGCCTGACCCTGGTCTCCTGGAGATTTTGTGACCTACTGATAGTCTTTAATAAATAACTTTCTGGCTCACAGTAGCTAGGGGTACCATTTATAACTAACAATGCCCCTTGTGTATGGCTGATACGGTGCTGGGAGCCGCACTGGCCTCGCTGGATGACAGTCACTGTGAGGAAATGGTAGCGTTTGCACAGCTCCTGCCATGAGAAATGAAAACTGGTATCTCCTTCTGCTACTACTGGCTCATGTTAGAAATGAGACTGCAGGTATTGAACAGGCCTCACAATATTCCAAATCAGACAGATATTCCCCACAAAGAATGATCATAAGGAAAAGCATATCCCTGCCTTTTCCAAAGAGATTTCGGATGAAAACATTGTGGATGATAGTTAAAAGGCTCTTCCTAAGGGCCTTGCAGATCCAAGACTTACATAATAAAGGGGGCTTGAGTCTGGCCCTGAGACAAAGAGCCTAATTTAGAGTTAAGGGCAGATATCCACCCCCACCCAATTGTTTCTGCTTGGAGCACTGGCCCCCCCCTCCCCCGCCAAGGCATTTGTTATCAAGTATTTGGAGTGACTTATTCTGGCCTTGAATATGCTGATTGCTCCCTGTGAAGGAACCTATTGAGGAACTTCTTGTTTTGTGATTAGGGAGCAGAGGTGTTTCCTGAAAGGCCTGTTTGACCCCTGCTCACAGAGAAGTAACTTCACCCT